GTTCACAAACCATGAAAGTTTACAATCTTGAGTAGTTTACAAACTGAAATAGTTTGGCACGTCGAATCCAACACTGTTGCCTAAAGTAATTTAGTCTCTAATACAGAATCTGAAAGTGAAATGTTCGGTGAAATCCGGCCGAATTGTGGCTCATAAAAACACGCGAGTTTTTTCCATGATAGATAGAAAACATACTGCTCAAGGCGTATGTTTTATGAATGAGCAACAACCGAATTCACAGGAATATAAAGATTGATCGGGATGACGGCGTCGTAAAACTCGGCTGCTTTGAGTGATGTAGCCTTCCACTGAACGCATCGGAAAGGATACCAGAGCAAGCTCTTATTTGTTCACTCGAAGGGCGGCCGATGTAATTTCTGAGGCTTGCTTCACCGCGATGACCGAAGATCGCCATTATGAGCCAGCCGTGTTGGACCTCAGCATAATTGCAGTCGCTCTGACACCGTCATGATTGATGAATTTTAACAGTTATGCCAGTTTGGCTATATTTTTTATCATTCCCGTGTTGTTCTGTTTTGTTTTTGAACACGAAATTATATGTACTACACGAGTGTCAACTGTGTTTTGATTTTTATTACCGTATGTAAGCTTGCAATCTAACTGAGTGTGAAAACCTTCAAAACTCGGAATGTCAATTTCTTTTTCTTTGAGGATTTTCGTCTCTGCTTACGTTATAATCACGCCAATTACGGCGCTTGACATGTTGCAAACCTTTGTTTAGTCCTTCTATTTGCCGACTCACTTGTTCCGCCGGATTCAATCTCTCTGACGAAGGGCTAATGCTCGAAACGTCAGCCTTTTTACTCTTTAGGATGGCCAATTTTCGTTTTCAACTCAGTTGTTAACTCCAAATTACCTGTTATACTCTCCCACCCACGCAGCACCATAGTTTCTTTAGAAACTTACCCCATTATTCATTTCTCTTGCTCTATGTTCTATACTCTGGTAGAACATGCTGTTTCAACCAATGACAGCGCGCGTTATACCCGGAATTTATTAAAATATTTGGTAAGATTATTTTTTTGAGGGGCGGAAGGGGGTACTGGTGTGTAGATTCGCTCATAAGCTAACGTTACGAAGAGCTGAGTCATTTGAACTCCGAGTAAAACTACTGGGTTATGCTGGCCTTTATGACCTTAAATGAAGTCTAATTGATGATCGTGATGT